GGGAGCTGCATGGGTGAGGGGATGTCAGCCACCAAGCGGGTGGCCCCCTTGTAGCCTTCTAGGGCCGAGGCCTGCTCAGGCAAGTGGATGTTACCCGCCAAAGGAGTTGCCTGCCTTCGGTGCCTACTATGGCCAGGCCCTCCAATCTCTCTGAGCGCATTCACGTACATTTACGTGCTTGCATGTACCTGCAAGGGCTTATATATACATACACAAACTTATGTGTGTTTACATATACATACACAAACATATATGTGCAGAGAGAAAGCAGCACTGCCATAGAGGGTACTCTCCTTTGCGGTCTCCCACACTGCCTGAGTGTGAAATAAATACAGATACAGGACTATGCACCATATTGCATAATACTGTGGCCAATGGGTTAATCTTATATTAAAATAATCCTAGATTTTGTATAGTATGATGATATTCTAGGATAGCCTTAGCATGAGCCGCTATTAGGGCTCTTGCTTAAACTTATACCAAGTAACTAAGTAATTAAGCAAGCATCATTATGGTAAATTGGAAATTCTTTTTCTCATTTTATCAATCACAGATACTGGATTGGGTATCCTACATGACCTTCCACTAAACCCTTCTTGGTAGACTGGCATTTCATGCATCCCATCCTTTTGAACACTTAAAAAGAAACAAAGTTTACAATAGATTTTACAACAATTCACACACACACACAAGAAAAAAAAGTTATTTGTTAATAAAGATAAAAAAGGTATTTCAAGGATTCAAGATTACTGATCGCTTATTAATAAAAGAAAAGAAATAACATGAACCTAATATTGAACTCCTTGTAACAGTACCTTGCTGTATTTAAGAAAAGCCAATATTTCAAAATTAGAATCTGAAATGCCTTCTTGCTTAGGCTGTACGATATCACTTCCAACAGAGAAAGTTCTTTCCTCAGCTGCACTTGAAGGCACAGATTGTTGAGCTTCAGAAAGAGGGGAAGTTTGACTCCATGATTGGAGACTTGTTCAGCATTTTAATTTTCTGATGCCTTTCTTGATCTTTGGGTTTGGATAAGGTTACAGGTCTCGTTCAAGAGTTATACATTTTGTACGTGTACTCAAATAAATCAGCTGAGACAAACTGCAGATTTTTACTGCAAAGCCAATTTATACATGCTTCCCAGATGACCAATGCATAAAGTAATAGGTAATGAATAACAACCTAATATTGCAAAGAAAAACAACCAGCATAACCAAATTAGTTACTCATAAAAAATGAAATGGAATTATCATTATCATTACAAAGAAAGTGACAGCATTATGGAGGGCCCTTATTAGTAATGGTGTTACTCCTATCTTTATATGGATTTAAAGTATTATGAAAGGCAGAGCTCCTGCATGAGCTTAATTTCCTACTGAAGTTGAAATAATTAATTGCTTTTCACTGATGGAAATTTAGACATTAGTTTCCCACAGAATATATAGATTTTTTGTCTCATCTACATCTGCTTATGAACAAATATGCATTTTTTACTTGTTCAAAATTCCCCCATTATTATAAAGATGGATCATTTATGGGAACTCGTACTAGAGCTACATAAAGTAAAATTTCCAGTTTACTTTACCATGGATTGCCTTGGAGTTTTAGGGGTATACGTGATAGGCCACTTAACAGTATCATGATCGACTGTTGCACAGACTGAAGATGGAAATCAAGGCCAAAAAGTGATCAGTAAAAAGGGTGAAAAATACATGAAATTACCATTAGCTATTCCCACCAAGAAACAGATAGGCCATATCACCTTGGAAAGTGAATATTCTTGAGCACTGGTTCCATATGAGAGGATGGGGCCAACTTAAATACATTTAAAATAAGGAAGACAGTAGCATGGGAAGTTTACACAAAGTTAATCCCTTGTGGACAGGCATCTTTTGATAAATTTAAACTTGAAGAAAATATATTTTGATACGAGAATAGTCAGCAATGATAAAGAAAGACTGAATTATCATATATTGATATTGGCTGTGAGTGCCTGTGTATAATTGTTTCCTCACAAATAATGACCCCCCCCCCAATCCCATGCCTGTTGTTGTCGTGGGGGGGGATGGTAGTTAGGAGACGAGGACTGAGCCCCAATGTGGGGGATCACCCCATCCTTGGACCTCAGCCCTCAACTTAACTAATTTTGCATGACCTTTTCTTCTCTACCTTCTTTTTCCTTCTTTCTCATCTCCTCCTTTCCACATCCTAAAATGTTGGCTTTGTGTCAGTCCCCAACGGCCTTTGTACTGTATTTGCTATTCCTCTTTACCCTTTTCACTACCATTCTAACCAACAATATTCTACAACTTTTGACATGTAGCATATTTTATCCTAATTGTTAACTCATTTTTAACATTTTTGCCACTTTTGTCATGATGCTATATGACCCTTCCTTACTTGGGGGCTTTGCCCTCAAGACTTGTCTTATTGCTATGTTTTTATATGCCGCTAATGAACTTATATGTTGATGCGTCAGAAAATTTTCAATAAATAGATAAATCACACATGATGATTATCAGTCCAAGTTCTGAAATCTTGTTTTCTGAACATATGAAAGATATTATAAGAAAGAAAGAAAATGTAATTATTAGTTTTTGTTTGAATATATACCTGTACTATAATTTGAAAGTCTGTGCCATTATAAATATCACCTGTTTCCAGTTTAAAGTAACTGGGGTGAGTAAGAGGGGTAGACGGCTGTGGCTCTATACGTTTGCTGTCTGAAATCGCGTAACACCCCGACCTCAACTCATTACCTGGCACGATGGCACATTGTACTTGAGTACTTGGTGATGTCTTCTGGCAACTTATTTCCTGTCGAGGCTTTTAAACATGCTGCAAAAACCAACCCATGTTATGGGATATCTTTGTGAGGGGTGAATATCCAGGAATTACTCAGATTACACTTTTCCCTTTAATGTATGAGTGATTAAATGCACTAGTTTTTTAGTGCCACTACACCTCCCATTGGTAACTTGGTGAACTTCATTGGTAAACTTCAACTTGCATTTTCAGTTCTTTCCACACAGTTGGCACAATTTCCTCACAAGACTGAAAAAGAACTGATACTTTAACATCTGCACTATTACAGATAGCAAATATTTTTTCTTTCTTTCTTTAGATAGAAGTTTTGTTGTAAAATTAAGTATTAGCTATATTTCTCTGAGGTAAATATCAGTTAAAAGAATTTTAATTCTAGAAACTGTAAAAGAACTTTCTAGTCATGTATGAGTTTTAGAGCTCTGCTTGAAGGAAATATTTGAAGCAAATGTGCCGATGATTATATTTTCGCTGCATTTATACAGCTGGTAATTTTTTACCTTATGGATACAGTTGCCTCGCAGCTCACATGTGGACCAAAATCATGGCATTAGGCTTACATGAATAGTAACTCTCCTGGGGTGTGGGTTGTAGATCCGTCCCAAATGAACACTCGTGCATGTTATCAAGACTCCTTGCTGCCTCTTTGCTTTGCTGTTAGATTTTTTTTCCGCAGATGTATTTTTTTTTGCTGTTTTGCCATTCTCCGAGATCTGTATTTTTAATTTGTTATGTTGTATGACTATGATAGACTCGTTTAGTTTTTTTCCATGATGAAATAAGGGGTGAGGGACAGTGCTACAAGAAAGTTAAAGGGAACCATCTCCTTTATTTGTTAGGATGTTTTGTTCACTTCGGTCTTTTCAAGGATTATTTTATAGTTATTTAAAGGGGTTAGAATTGTGGGATGATGTTTTGCATCTGCTACTTCTCCACACTTTTGATATATATCACTTGGATGATTAGGAATGTTTCTGAAGTTATTGCAATAGACAGGTGCAGATGATTGCTTCTGCATATGTATTTGGAATGCATCTTTACATTAAATTTGATTACTTATTAACTCACATGATTTCCTTTTTTTTTTCTTTTCCTTTTTTTTTACATACTTTCCCCTCAGTGTATGTTATATTATTGTTTTTTATTATGATGTTGATATTTATTGTGAAATCTGCAGTATGTCTGAGCTGTTATGTATTTTAAGTGGAAATTTCTAGTTTTTCCGAGTTTCTTAGTCTTCTCGCATTTGTGAAAGAAAAAAATAATTCATTTTGTGTATGTTTATTTCTAGTTTTCTCAGTTGGTCCATGATTTTCCTTCAAATTGTTTTCCTGTTTGATATAATTTTTTTCTTTTTGTTTCTTTTGGAGACTTTCAGCTGTATCCCTCACAGCTTGGCATTTCATTCACTGATGAATTCCTAGAAAAAAATAAAGATGATATGAATGTATCTTATTAACCCCTGTATTGCTAGAGAGGACTAATGGTGTTATGTAGGAAAGGAGAAGCACAAAAAATGTAATATGTGACACCAAGAGAACTGTTACATACTGCATTCAGTAGTAGCTTGACTATTTTGGTTTGTCACTGCTAGTAAATTGTTTCTCTTCAAAGCAGAATTAAGAGTTTTGCTGTACTAGTATAGGCAATCATAGCTTAAAGCATAGGAGGAGGAGGATTAATAAGATTATGATGGATATATCTTGATATGTTGAAGTTTATTTAGATTGATGACAGCTCATGACGTGTAATTTGCTTTTTATCCAGAGATTTTAGACTACATATCTGTTCTATGGCTTCACCTATATAAGTGTGATATTGAAGGACAGTTATATGTTTATATGAGTTGGGTACATAGAAAGGGCGTGTTTCTACTTTGATTATTTTTTGTTTTTAAACAATAACAAGAAAATAAGAAATTAAATTCTAAAGATCCAGTATTTTTCATTATCTGTAATTTTGATATCAACAAATTAAACATGAATAACATAAAACATATGCACTGTTCTGTACTGTCTTTTCCATATGAGTATTTTCCTAAAGATCCAGTATTTTTCATTATCTGTAATTTTGATATCAACAAATTAAACATGAATAACATAAAACATATGCACTGTTCTGTATTGTCTTTTCCATATGACCTAGCGTTCATATTTGCTGTTTTCTCTTTTCAGGTGAACATTTTCCAGCTTTCTCATGGACACCATAACTCATGAGCAGTCTTCCAGCAGACATTGTGGGTCCAAGGAATGCGAAGAAGGCAAAATTCTAGAACATCTGTACCGGTTATCCAATGTATAGGGTGCTTTGAGAATATGTTTAATGTTGTTTTAGTAATGAAAAAAAATAATGTCTTAAATAACTTCTTGGTTTGGTTCCTTTTATGAATTTGACCTCATATGAATAGAATATGCAGTAGAAAGATTATTGATGTTAATTTAGGCAGGTTCAAAGCTGATAGTATGTTGTTTAATATTCTTAATTGGTATTATTCAACCATCTTTATCAGTGTGTGATTGAATGAATGTTATTTGGGTATATCATTTAAGGAACTTTATTTTATAACTTAATTTAATCCAATTACAGTTCTGAAGTAAAAAAAAAATAATAATAATAATAAAATACAGAAATGCTCACCGGTTTATGTCAGAGGATGCATCTCTGCACTAAATTTAATGTTCCTTGGTAGTCAGAGGATACTTTTAATGTACAGACTTGTATGTATCCCTGAATCTTGCGAGAAAGTGAGGAGAATTGGATATTTTTGCCAATTCTTAAGAAAGACCGTGTGAGAATTGTTTAATAAACACTGGTTTGAAGATAAAGAAATGTTGGCAAACCCTGACAAAATAGAGAGGGTAAATTTAGGGGAACATATATTAGTAGTCTTCAAAGTGCAGTTTGATATACTTTATGAACAACTTGATCTCTATGTGAATGAGTAAGATTTTGTAATGATATCTCTGTAGCATATCTTCACATAGCTTCTGTATGGCTAAAATGATTTTGGGAAAGTATTTTATAAATGTTGTTAGTGAACTATTATCCTGTTGAAGGAAGGAATGGAAACCTTCAAGAATGTTATTTTTTGCTAAGTTGTGACACTATACTTGTTGCAGTATCCAAGATATAGCATGAAATTGGTGTTGAGGTGATATATTATTCAGAATATAGCAGTATATTATCCTTAAATATGTTTCCCAGCTGTCCTGTCTTGTAAGTCACAGCAATCTCAAGTTTTATATAATGGTAGTATACAGTCATTTGAATGACCACATGAATAATCCTTTAGATCTTATATAATTTCAGATCATCATGTTAACTATTCCTTATATATAATGACATGAAAGGAATATGAATGTTACCCTTTTCTCATATTGGGTTTGTTGCTGTTTGTTTTTGTAAATGTTTTTTTATGAATTTTTGTGAAGTTGAAGCTTGGTACTTCAGATGTGAGAACGTTTCTTGGGACAGAATACCCAGCCAGTTGGGAGAGCTGTTTTATTCGCAGAATATTTCTCTAAAAGAAACTTTTATGGACTGCCATATTTTTTATGTGGTCTGCATTAACTGTGGAAACTTTGTTCAATAGATTTATTTGCTTTATTTTTAGATTATGTAACTCTTTATCTTTACAGTGGCTTTGATTATGAAAATTCCCGGTCTGATTTTAAGAAAGTTTTATTTATTCATTATTCTTATTTAAAAAAAATAAAGATCTAATAATTTGCTAATTAAATTAAACATTGACAGTATCTCAAGATGACAGTTGTGTAATGCATTTATATACTGATTAACTGAATAGAAGGTATTGGTTTGATGAATTACCATTAACTTACCATAGACATTCCCTAACTCAAGTATTCCACACGTGCTGTTGATCTTGTGTGTGGAAGGGTATGGTTTTATCTTGTATTTGTCAGTTCTAACATGTAGGTTCATATGATCAGTGTTATTAAACATGCCGTAGGAGTGATTGTTGCAGGTTTCACGGCAGCATTTTGATAATAATTAAAAAAAATATGTATCATTATAATAATTTTGGGGTAGTTTAGTGAACAGGGAGATTTAGTATGAAGTGGAGGTAGCACAAAGTTGGTTTTGGTTATTTCTAATCTGTGTTTAACTGGACATTTTAGAAGACAGTTAAAATTATTGAGTGAAATGGTGCCAAGATGAAGTCTTTCTTTTTCTTGAAGCTTACTCTTTAAAAATAATTTATATATATTTAAATTTACATATTTATGTACATGACGGATATGACAAGGATTGTGATCCGGAAGCTGATATGTTGGAAAGGGATACTATACTTTATAAATATAGTTACTAATAATTATTTATTTGATGATAAGTGCCAGTGTAGTCCTCTAAAGGATAATAACTAATTGAAGCCAGTGACTCATAGACCCTTTATATCCCAGAATTATGATAGAGTGATTGGCTGTGTTGTTACAGCTCACTGAAATACTTGTTAACTGCATTAAAACAGAAGTCAAGATATTATGTATCATTATCTGATGCACCAGCTACTCTAAAGTAGGAATCATGGCTGGCATAATTACTTAAGGAGTGTTATGAAGTATTTGTTAATGGAATAAATATTTTCATTACTTATTCCAGTTGAGAGGTTACATGAAGACGGAATGGCTCTGTTGTTTTGCTGAAAGTTTCAGT